CATTACCAGTGGGTTTTCAGGCGTTTACCTAGAAAAGATCCTTAAAAACGCCCAGACGTCTTCGTCCTTATGGAGCAGAAATTTGCAGTTAGGTGTGCAGTTAGTCTTGCATAACTCTGCATAATCGTCTTTGTTGAAGCACTGTTTAGTGTTCTGCCTGGTTTGATTACCGTCTACGGCAAAGATGCATCTACTGTCTACCAGTATGGCTTCTTTCATGGCTATAACTTTGTTATTTGGATCGTGGTACTGTTACAGGTAATGGATCAATAATGTTTAAATAAATGACTAGCTAGTGTCGGCTGATTTTAAAATGTTTATGGGAGGAAATCATTAAATGATTTATTTGTAACTCACACCGGAAGGCAGTACTCTCCAAAGGTTTTACCGGTGTACCGTACAAGCGGTTTATATTAAAGTTTCATGAAAGCAAGAGAGATAGACATTTCTTATGCGTTGCATTCAGGACAAAGTTCAAGTAGTATAGTAAACTACTCTACGATTAATCTTTCGAAAACTAATTGTTTTGTGAACATCGATTTATTAAGTGTTTCGTAGAGTTTAATTGGTTCGAAAAACAGCAGATAACGAATGAGTAATTACGTGTGGATGCTGCATAAGTTTATGTTAGCGTAGATTACCGTATTTCTGTAAACACGCAGTAATGGAGAATCAGACCTCATTAACTGTCCGTGTCCATCTAGCGAATGTTCTGTTTTTTCAGCAGTAAACTTCAGGTGCTGCGTTAAAGTCTCGAAGTAGACTGTAAATGCAGCGTTATAGAAAAGGCCAGTGGTTAAGCATAGAATGAGCTAATTATACTAGAATCAGACGAACTGTTTTTTAGCTTCTTAAGCTTTGACAGTCTATTAAAAGTCTGAATTAGCAACGCAATCTTTTTTTCTATCAAAGAGTACTGGGATTGTACCTCCCCAACCAACCCCTTTCTGCTCCAGTTAAGTTATTATGTAGAGTGGGGACAGCCGTTTTAACTCAGCGCCGGGAAAGCATTGAGACATAGTAGAATAACGCTGGTTTTGACATATCTACAACTTAGGTTGACGGACGGTAAATACAAGATGTCATTCGATTACATTCAGAGTCAGGTACTTAGAACAAATACTGAAATTGGCGACGAGGGCTTCACTCTGCCATGGTCGAATTAAGGAAAGTTCGGACTCGTCTCGGCAGCTTACGAAAGCATGGACATAATTCACGTCTGGTAAATTCTGATGTGGCTACTTGTTGCATATAATTTCCTGATTGCTACTGCGTTTGTATTCTAATAAGTTAATGAATGGAAATAGTGACAAACGGATTGATAGAACAGTCTTTTGAAATTTGAGCTTCAGTAACAGTCATCGAGCAGCTTCCTTCTTCACGTTATGTTGCATCGCAAAATACTGGTTGAATGCTGTCCGGTTTAGGGTGACTAAGGCTGCTTTTAATTTGCATTGTTTCCATTTGTCACGTCGTTCTCATTTTATTTAAGTTCCTAACGGCAGTAAACCGTATAACAGCTTACATTTTAGGCATACGGCGGTTTACTAATCGCGTTGGTGGTTACATACGCCGACAACATATTGAAAGGTTTTGCGACCTCAATATCGATAATTTTGTCCTCCGTATTATCATACATGCTGTTGGGCGATTTCTCTCCATCATGGTAAGAATCTCTATTATTTATGCACTTTTGAACTCCGCTGTTGCTGATCTCAAGCCCGGATGAGAAAAGAGCAGGGTTGCTTACCACTGCGCGCTGAACTTAGCCACCTGCTTCTCGTGACGTTGGCATTATCGAACTCGTCTTCGCCCGGGTTACCGATGGCCATGCAGGTTGTTGGGGAACTGACGCAGACGTCGGAAAGTCGACGACCAAAACCTGCTTCACGCCTTCTGGTAGCCGAGGCCGTAGCATTACGATGATGGTTACTGTAGATGGACACGAAGATGATTGAAAGTACTAGTCAGCAGCAGAGTCGCTAGCCATTCTGGATGGAAGATGCAAACAGCGCGATGCTATTATAGCATGCCAGATGAGATTCAGCGAGAACCGTACCGACAGTATGAGTTTACAGTCGGAAATTTTAAAAGTTTCTTACTCCGAGGGAAAGTTAGTTTGCCCGCAAAGTGTCTTTTGGGCATAGTTCACTCTCATCAAGGGGGCACTAGGGATCTGGAATTTTTTCCTCTGCGAGTGGAAGCTGTTTTATTAAGATTTCGACTCTACGACCGGTGTTCAAGCCAGGGTTAGTTTTTTGATAAATCCCAACATGGATGACAGAATCATTTAATGGAAGCTTGTCAGCGAAGCGTTGCAGTTTTCCGATTATAGTTGCAACTCCAAAAACATCGATCTTGTTACAGGTTCATGCACCCATTTCGGTGGGAGAAATGAAGCTTCCCTCGAAGAAGTAGAAGGTACTCTATGAAATGCCGTCTATGGAATCCATCATTGTAATGGGCAATTCGTGTCTCGGAGCAGACATTGGAAAGTTGACAGTCGTGATTAGAAATATCAGCCCTAGCGACCTCCGCCATAAGGAGACGTAATGTTCATAACTAACAACAATTACGTAGTTGCGGGTTTGTGCATACAGCGGGCTGTTTCTTCTTAACACCTTCTTTGAGCATCGAAGCGTACGTCAGTATTCCTGATCCGAGGAAGCTTGTGCACAGAAGTCGATGATCGATTTCATAATCGTATGTGTGACTTACGATGCTCTGCAATGGATGTTCGTCTTAAGAGAGGCGCTGAACTGTCAACCGATCTTTGCCTTGTTGATGGCACCTTCTGCTGCAAACGATGGAGTACCATGCGAAGATCTGGCGGCAGAACCAACTGGGAATCAAATAGAAAACTATTTTCTGCAAAAACTATGTCTAAACTTGCAAATAATATTGCTCGATGGTTTGAAATGATCTCAGTGATGATAGCTGACGTGGAATCCGAGTGGAAGCTGTTTAAGAGCTGCTTCAATTTGGTTGACCTGTCGTTTGGAGTCAGAAACCGCTTCGTGGATGGATGACAGCAGTTCATAAAGGAAAAGGAGCCTTTGTCACTCTTGGAATATCCGCCATTTTGGCGTCCTTTTTTTCATGAAGTTGATGGTATGGTGCTGACCTCTGTTTCTATGCTATTAACTAGAAGTGTCTTGTTCTTTTAAAGGCAGAGCCTACAACCATATGGCAAGCGTCGCGTGAGGTTTCCTGTTTCCTTTCCACAGAGTGGTACACATAAACTTCAGACGGAGGAAAAGCGAATGATGATGATGACTGACCGACGCTTTAACTCGGGACCTATCGACTTTGCGTTCGACGCTTTACCGGCTGAGCAGCCCCCGTCTGAAGCAGTATGTGAATTTCTTGCTCACGGAAATTCGTGAATGAGACAGAGATTGACTTCGAACCAAATTGAACCCGACATCTCCGGATTTCGAAGCAAACCTCTTAGACACTGTACCGCCACGCCGCCAGAGCTTTAACTGTCAGCTGGCTCGCACAAGGTTGAATAAGCTAGAACAGCGTTGTATTCAAGAAATGGCTAGCAGCAGAGGACCTTCAACTCGAATACCTTTCAAAGAAGCGGGCTAGTCAGCAGCGCAAGAAGTGGCCAAAGCAAAAGCTGATCCCTAGGAATAGTTCGATGAGGTGCTGAAGTCGAATTTCCAGACTGCAAACAAAATATGTTCTGGCAGACTCTCCGCCGCCACCGAGATGGTAAGAACGGCAGTGTAAGAGACCAGAAGAACAAGTCTGGACGCCCATTTACTAATATTGAGGACATGCTTCGGCGATGGATAGAATACTTTGAGCAACTTCTTAACCCTGAACAACCGCAGAAAAATTCGCCTAAAAAGCAGAAGGCAGAGAATGTTAGTCTTTCAATGAATTGATTCACAGGAAGTAAATAGCTTGAAAAGTAGCGCGGCTGTTGGAATCGATAACATCCATTCTGAAATGCGTAATCTTAAGCGATCAAATTATATCGATGTTAATGCGTGTTTGTCATTGACTCCGGGAAACACTAATGGACTGAACAGCAGGAGTTGTACTACCCTTGTTCAAGAATAGAGATAGGAGTGGTCAAATTATGAAGGCGATAGTTATTGAGCTTTTCGGGAAAAGTCTCTGCAAACTTCAACTCATAACAACTGATCATCGATGCAATGCGTTTGCAGGTTCGCTCACAGATTGTTTCGCAGGATTCAGTCGTGGTCTTTCTTTCGGTCCACATATTACACGTAATCCTGATGAGCAAACTCCCATGATTTCCCCATAGTCTGGCGCAAGGCGAATATCTGGTCAGAGGTACTTTGGCCAGACCTGAACCTATCCTGTTTTCCACGGCACCTGCATTTTAACAGGGTTAAACATTGTACGTATGATGTTGCCTATGTAATGAGATACAGCTTCAGGCCCCATAAATTTGTGCGCCAGTTTGGTGGTACTTTTAGCATGGTTCATTAATTTTTGATAGTAACTCTGCCAGTAAGCGTTTTGTGTGTGCGTGTGTGAAATGATGGAGTTTGACAACAGTGTGATATTTCTCAGTGTAATTATGGTCCTACGTTGCTGTTTCTTTGCGAAGTTTGTGCTTCATCCTTTTTCTCTCATTTAATATTCTGAAAAAAAACCAGAATCTATAGTGACTGTGGATTTTCCTGGACCTTTTGACTAAAAGGGAACTTCGAGTTAGGTCATTTGCTGATGGGGAGTTGCACTTTTGTTAGCTGTTATTCTGCTAATTATTCCACCAATATTGACAACGTTTTCAGATCAGCATTAAATTTTTAGGTCGTTCGCTCTTGGGTCATTTATCGTTATGAGCGCAACATTTATGTACGGTTACGAGAAGAAGCCTATTATCGGTCACGTTTCAGTGCATTGAGTGTCATGTTAGTACATATTATTGTTATGCTGTTAAAAATGCGGTGTTTTCTTAGCCTCTATCGACATTTTTTTATGTCTTTGTGAGGATCGAAAATGTGCACCAATATAACCCAGAGTAGGTTTGCATATAAAGAGTTAACTGTTTTTTAACAGTTATTCCTTGGTTCATTTTTTGATTTTGGCACCGTTTTCTGTTATTGTTTCGGAATAAAATATTTCTCTGCGTTCT